TCTGGGCTGATTCCTCACCTTTCTTATCATCAGTGATACCCCACGAGGTGAGATCTTGCATGGCGCCCCAGTCCGAGGGAGACTGACAGTCGTCTTTAGCCTCTTCCATTTTCTAACAATTGCTCCAACAGTTGATCTATTTTCAAGGCACAGTAACAGGTCTTTGAGAGCCAGAATTCTTGCTGTTTCTCAGATGTTCAAATACTTGTGTTCCTGACTGTACGTGCTCCTAGATCCTATCCGATCTCTGACAGAGCGAGAACTAGAGTTGTTTTCCTTTGTCTTAGCTGTAAAAGATGAGCTTTGTTCGTTTGTACTTCGTGCTCACTGATGAAACCTCCCAGGCCTGAATAAAGACGTTCAAAACCGCTACCACTCTTAACAGAGGAAACAATTCAGGAGAGCAGCACAGTAACAGGTCTTTGAGAGCCAGAATTCTTGCTGTTTCTCAGGTGTTCAAATACTTATGTTCAGCAGTGCAAGACAAATAAATTCTTTAAAAATCATACAATGTGATTTCCTGAATTTTTTTTTTTAAATCCTGTCTCAGAGTGGGAATGCACCTACAATGTGAATTTCAGACCCCTCCATGATTTCTAAGTGGGAGAACTTGCAAAATCGCAGGGTGTTCAAATACTTCTGTTCCTCACTGTACATCTGGCACTGCTGGTGCATTTTGACACAGCAAATTAAGAATAACTTGTTTCATGTATGTACTTTGAGATGCTTGCTGTGTGCATCTCTACCATGTTTGAGTGGCCTTAAGTGGTGTTTCAATGCAGTTAAGTACCCATTTGTGATCACACCTCTAAATGGGGCTTTAGTGATCTAATGTCAATGTACCCTCAATGCATTTGCATGTTTACTTGCAGTTCACTGGGGATCTGATGTTATATTTTGTTTTGGAAAAAGAAAAGACCTGAATACACCTTTGCACCAGAACAACCACCAAGGCCCAAACAGTCTATCAAATTTCCATCTCTCCACTAATGGAGCTCCAAGGGAGAAGGCATTATCCACTCTGTTACCATCTAGACCTATTAGTGCTTTCAGTCACCCAGAAACAAAAATCTGAGTCACATTTGTGAGAAGTGCTGAACTGTGGAGCCACCGATTCAAAAACTCTGCTAAGTAATAAAATATAAGTCAATGCCTGGCAACATCAGAACATCTGCAAAAGGTGAAATGGAAATCAAGAAAACAGACGTTATTTTTGTCTGACAACATATTTCTTCTTACTAGGCAGTATTTATGTTAGATCATTTCACTTGTTTCAAGCTTTTTTTGTCCTTAAATATTTAATGAAACATTATGATTTGTTACTGAGATTTTAATACTGGTTCTGAGTAATTTAATGCTTGAATTTAGAACCACCACAGCTGCTTTGTATCAGAAAAATGCACTTGTTTTTAGTCTCCCTGCACTAGTTTTAAGATCTCTATGGGTTCTGAGACCAGATATTTTTTACTTATTTCTAAGAATCTTGGTAAGTGAAAATGTCCTGTTCTGTTGGCAGATTATTTTGCTTATTTTAAGTAAATTGTCCCCCATTTTGTTTCTTTTTTCTTGTTTTTGAAAGCTGAGGTTTTACTGCTACCCCAGAAACTGAGCCAATAAGGGCATACATTAGATTCTGAATTGGGAAAATCTACTGATATATGGAATGTGGTGTGAACTTCATCCAGTACATACTCTCTGTACTGAGACGTGTGAACACTAAATACTGGCTGGGTAAACAGCAGGAAAACTGAAGAAAAGTCCTGAAAAGAGGATGTGAAAACCTCACCATGTTATCACACTAATAAAACATTTAACCAGCATCAGTATCATGTGTTGCATGTTTTTACTCCTTTTTTCCTGGCTCTGGAAAGAGCACCACAAGTCACTTCATCCCAGCTCTACTAAAGCTTCCCCTCATCGTATCACATTTAATATAACTGCCCCACTCGTTCCAGCTCTAATCTTTTATCTTCATCTCATCTTTGGCCCATGACATTTTCTTACCTATCCTCCCCTACGCATCGCTCACCCACCCACATGCATTCAAGCACATTCACCACCACCTCCTTGTTCCATCAGCCTATCAACGAACACCAAGGAAGCCTCTGGATGATGTCATGTGGTATGGCTGCTATTCCAGGACTGACATCAGTGGGGAGAGAGTCCTCATTCTTTCCAGATTCTGACCCAAACGTTTTGGCTCCTCTACCTGACCCTACTGCTCCAGCTTCCCCACTCAACACTGAACATCTTGTTTTCTCGACACCAAAACCTCTTTCTGATCTACTCTCCTCCAAACAAATTTATGTCTTACAAAAACTACACTACTGTACATAATCACCCACACTCACACTGGATGCGGGTCCTTTCACTCTGCTGAGACAATAGAGGCCAAACAAGAACTGCTTTGTTTGCAAAGCTCCTCCTCGGTTGCTTCGATCCACTCGAGGTCCCCAGCGGATTACCTCCGCGTGAGGTCGAGTGGTCCATCTGTCCCACCTGTGTTCCCTCAGACCAACCACAGCCATTTATTTCACTGAGCAATTCTTAGGACTAAGGGATGGGCATTAAGTTATCTCTGTTTTTTCTTGGCATACTCACAGTGAACAGGGAAATCAGGGGACACTTTCTCCAAATGGACTAAGTCAAACAGGCCTTAGTTTCTGAAAATCTAAGATTAAAATGCTCTGGAAATACACACGTTCTCACAACATTCATCAAGGCAGACATCGTTAACAGTCATTAGAAAGACTTTGCCAAGGATAATGGATCTTTATGACTAATTTTAACAAGTAAAAAAGAGTAATTACTATTTAATTTGCAGCAGACAAGCACTGATTACCAGATAAAATACCTGTAATCTTACATAAACATAACGCAAATTATCAAAGTCTTTACTGGCACAAACCTCAGTACTTGCTGCAAACTGAAAGAAAAAAAAAACATGTTGCATATAGAGGGTAGACACGCTCCCTGTGACCACAGTAACTCTGTCCGAAACCAAACCACAAACCATCTCAGTGCTAAGTGCTACTTTTCTCTTGACTGCTGTATGTAAAGAGGAGGCCCAACCTCCTCCTGCTTTACAGACAGATGAAACACACTCTACACTGTGATTCAAAGGTGTGATAAGTCAGGTTATTTGTGCCTCTTTGCCTTCTTTATACCATCTGACCATTATCAATTTACTATTATCATTATCAATCATTATCTACTCTAAAGACAGGTTGTAAAAAATTAATTAATAGGTCCAAATTGCTTTTTACCCGGTAGTTGACATGCTGTTTTTTTTAAGAGATTCTGTGAAAACAGCAAGCTATACTCAAACCAAATACATTGTGTGTGTGTGTGTGTGTGTGTGTGTGTGTGTGTGTGTGTGTGTGTGTGTGTGCGTGTTCATGCTCACTGCCTCTTGGTGGTAACTGACTCTGGAAAAAGTCAACACAAGTTCAGACTAAACTACAGAGGACAGAAGGATGTGTGTGTTGGGGGTGGGGGATAAGTGCAATCTGAGCATAATTTGGAAACTATGTGGCATATTTTCCATTTTCTGCTCACACTGGAGCCTGTTCTGTCTCCCAGCTGCCAGACACACAGCAGGAGGGCTTTAAACTTCTCTTCTCCCATGGTACACAGTGGACTGTTACTGCGGTTCTGATAGCGAGGTACAATTTAAACTGTATCATCTGAGTCTCATGATGATGCTATGGGCAACAATAAAATTACAGCAGAATTAAAGCCGTACCAGATAAATGCAAACATCTTGTTGGCTACTTGAGGACCAAGGGCTGTTCAGCTTAAGGCAAGTAATAGCTACAACGCACATACCTGTACATGAACACACAGATCTGTATTTATGCCTCATTAAACTATTATTTCTTTCTTTTTGTCTGGTCTTATGGAACAGCAGTGAGGTTAAAGGTGAGCTGGCTTTGCATCAGTCACATCAGTCAACCTCACTGAGGGCCTCAGCCTCAGACTAATCCTCCTTTAAACAAGCAGAACTCCGACGGGACAAAGACAACACTATTCCTTGTGCCTCTGTGTGTGTGTGTGTGTTCTTCACAGGTGTCTTGTTGAAGAGCAACAAGTATCCGCAGAAAAGCTTGTTACAGACACATATTCAAACTCACTCGGATCCTTCACGCTATGTAAAAGCAAAACGTATTTTACGATACATATTGGGTATCTCCAGGCGTTAGAAACCCTGAAAAGCTTCCTGTCACTAGTCAGATTATCTTTAACCTCCTGCCACAGAACTTTAATACACATAAAAAGAGGAGAATGTAAGAAGTAAAGCCCACTCTTCTAATAACATCTTGTCACTGTTTGTAAAGAACCTCAATAAACCATAGTGCAGCTTATTCAGACAACGAATCAGGACATGAAAACAAAAGGAGAAATATAACGGTTTGAATTGTAGTAAACACTTAGTAGCCACAGTGACAACAACGACTGCAGAGCCGAACTGCCAAGAAACGCAGCAAAGTTGGAAACAGAATTCAGGAACATGGCATTCTTCTGTGGAAGATGTGGAATATATGGCACCTGAAATTAAATTTGATTTGCAACTGTGTGTATGTGTGTGAGTGGGTAGCAGAGGACTTGGAATCAAATGCTGGGGGGTCCCAAACTAAATCCACACATACTGTATGTGGCCACTACCACAATGTGTACTTGGGTGGACCATCATTTGCACCACAGCCACATGTGCCTGTGCTCTAGTTAAAGTCAAGATCTTTAAATCAAAGTCACGTTTGTTTAGTTGTTTAGTAGAGCCTTGAAAATAGCATATAATGAAAAATGCAAAAATGTATTAGTTCTTAAATCTATAAATCAATTCACATCCCACTTTAGTACAGTCAGGTTCACACCGAGTCACACACAGCAAATGGACACAGCTGAGTGGAAAGCTATAAGCAAACACCGAGGCCTCACACAAACAGCCCCAAGTGGTGCAATAACATTATAGAATGATCCCATCACAGTACACTGCCTACCTCAAAGACTTCTTCCTCAAGTATTCTAGTCCCAAACACTATAATTCCTTTGGTATCGATGACGGGGTTGGGGCTTCGGAGTAGCTTCTGGGTGGTCTTCTTTTTACAGTCCAGAATGAGGGTGATGGTCTGCTTGTGCACACTGATGGCCACTCGATGCCACCTACAAGGGACATGAGGTTAATTCACACACTTACTGGGTTACATGCTGCCCACTTACACAGTACAAACACTAATAACCCGTTGTGTTCGGCCTCTCTTTCAAACTCGTATATATCCCACTCTGTTTCCTGGAGTGACAAAGAATCTCATTATACCTTTTTTTACTCTACAACTAAAAGATACACATTTGAGAACACACGATGTAAATGTGTAATATCACAAACAGGCATTGACAAGGTTGCATGTCACAACAAAAGAAAAAAAAAATCCATTGCAAATAGGACACCTGGTTCAGGTGCTGCTTAAGTGATGACACACTAAACCACCTAGAGATGTAACACGGATCACTTTATTAAAGCCCAGCAAATCCACCTGGACCCTGATTAGAGGGGAAGTTGCATGAACAAAAAACAGAGTCTGATACATGTTTATATTGTGGTGACATGATGGATGCTGGTCAAGCCAACAACTAGTGCACCTACTTTCCATCTGCTAGATTGACTCCTCGGAAGAGGGGGTAGTCCTCAGGGCTGGGTTTGCCCATGTGATCCTCGTACAGGAATACGGGAGAGCGTCCCACTTCCAAGCCGAGCTGCTGGATGCCCTGTTCATTGTACAAAGACAACAGGAAGGACTGGCTGCCCTTCTTGGGCTTCACTGTAGCCAAGATGGAAAAGTCCTCTGGAAAACCATCACCTGAGAGAGAGAGAGAGAGAGAGAGAGAATATTTGGACAGTTTTAAGTCGCAGTAATATAAGGATAAGCAGAATGAAAAACTCTGTCTGTGTTCAGGATGTTAGAAACATATTATTATTTCAGGAGACAGACAGTTACCTTTGGTGTCAAGAGCGAGTCTAAAAGTTATCATTGTTGCTTCTAAGGAATTGTTACGAAAACAAACAAAAACCAGAAGAGCTGGGATGGCTCTGAGAGGAAACACTAGCGGTTTGTGGAGTGCCCAAAATGAAGGATTTATCTGAAATGGATATAGGCTGAATAAAGGAAAAAAATACAAGTTAGAAGCATTTCCCTTGCAGCATAGGATGAAAAGCATAATGACAAAAACATGTGATCCAAGGAGACTTCGTCAATCTATCCTTCAAACCCCTCCTCTTCTTCCAAGGCTGATTGATCTAACAGACATTCAGACACTCCAGGAGGGGGCTGGAGAAAAGGAAATAGGAGTGGAAATATTTACAGGAGAAAGAATTAAAAACACATATGCATGGAAAGGGAAACAGCAACAATAAATTAGTGATTAAATGTTTGCCTCTATCTGCATGTGCAGCATCAAATATTTCCTCCATTTTGCTGCAGACGTGCGGGGCACATCTGCTAGACAGACTCCCTTAATGGGGTTTTCTCAGGACCCCAGAAAGAGGGTGGGCTTTCCTACCATCCAGTGTAATGTCGAGGTCAGTCTACACTGATCTTTTATTTTGGTACAACAAAAGAGGCAATCAGACTACAACCAGCTGTCTGGATGTAAAGAAACCACTTGGATTCTGGTAGCAGTCCCTTACTGATCTGCATGTACAGAGCAGAGGTTTCTAGAAAACCAGAGGAGAAACACAGGGTTTGGTTGCTGTGGTTTTGTAGCGCCTCATGCAGCCCCATCAAAGCCCTTACTCTGCCTTAGGAGACAGGCTGGACGATGTTAAACTGGAGTGACTGTGCCAGTCAGAAGCTGTGGAGGGAAAAGACACCTCAGAGGAGATGTTGCATGGAAACCTGAAGAGATGTAAGAAAAACAAAGAACAGAAGAGAAAAGAAAAAAGCTCCAAGTACCAAATTTTGGCCACCATCATTCACTCACATTATTCTTTCTTGTTAACGTTGTTGTTCACTCAGCTAACACATGAGTGTCTGTTTGCCTTCCTGTCCTCTCTTCCTGCCTTTTTCTATCATTCCTTCATTAATACCAGGCACCAAATCACATCATGTGGAGAGCACATGCCTTGGCAGGAAGCTCCTTCAGGAAATCAGCTTGGCATCATATGAGAAACATTGCTTTAATTGATAGATGCTTCAATGGGATGGTGTGAGGCAGAGAGCGAGGGAGGGAGACGAGACACAACCCTTCCGAAAGCCATGGAGGAGTTTGGTGAGGAAGACAAATACACGGAAACCTTGGCAGGCAGAGTGTTGTAAAATGATGTGTTACTGTAGGATATTGGGAAATACCAGAGAAAAGAAACCAGATGAGGGAGCATTTGGCACTACATCTGGTTGCACATGAGCTGTCACTGTCATTGTCACAGAGACAATGACTCCGCCGGCTCAGGGCAGGCTGCTTGTGTGGAGGTCAAGGTTCAGCGGAAATAACTGTGGTGCAGAGGGAGAGAGAGTGGGGGAAGGAGAGGAATTAAAAGCTCTAATTTTCAAATTTAAAGTACTTTTTGAGTTGGAACCAAATTTAAACAGTCCCTGAATGTTAAGCAACATTTACTGTACACGCCAAAGTTTCTCACTCGGGGCCTCATCAGCACTACCAGGATTGAGATGTCCTGAGAGAACCTCTACTGTAATTCTGAGAAGAAGAGTGTGAAAAGAAAATAGAAAACTGAGGATGAAAGGGAGTAAAAGAATAAATGATCACCCATCGTACTCACAGGGGAAGGGGGAGAGAGGGTCGCTGAGCAAAGCTCAGGTTTCTCTGGAATGTGTCTCTTAAATTGCTACCTCAGGCCACCAGATGAGCGATACCTCATTCCTCATTTAGTGTGTGTGCACGTGCGTGTTGGTGGAAATGGAAAGGCTGTGGTGTCAGAAGTCCTGGGAGTTTATACTGGCAGTACCAACACCAGTGTCAGATTAAAAAGGTCTGGGAATGTCAGAGACTCAAAGACGGCCCCAGACATCTTAACCAGCCAATCAGACAGTCCGTTATTTTCCTACAGATAAAATTACCCACTAGACTTGATTTTTAATCATATATGGTAGCTGACATTTCTCCTTTGGACAAATCTGTGATAGAAGAATCAGAGTTGATCATGAGAGGCCTTATTTAACAAGTTAAATGAGACAAAGAGTGGTTTGCCACCCTACTACTCATTTCACATTACTGACATCTGACATGTTCATTTCAATTATTCTTCTTCATCTACAAAACTTCCAAAATCCCGAAGAACGGCTCAAAAGCCAAGGAGGGACAGGAGTTGTTCCAGCACTTTGACTGTCAGCGGTGCATACAAGCAGGTAAATGGAGTAGAAAGTCCTGTAATTGGTCATTCAGTCATCAGTGTTCAAATCCCTCGTTGTGTGTGAGACAAGCAGCATTCCAGTGGGATTGCACAGGGCTACAGAGTGTACCTGTCTGCTGGTGTGCAAAGAGAGAGAGAGAAACATGGACAAAGAGACAGACATGGCAACAGAGAAGGAGACGGATGTGTGTGCTCTCCATGCAGGTGAGTGACCCTGAGTGTAAATGGTCCTAATGGAAAGACAGGACTCAAGATACAAGTGTGTCAAATTCAATGTTCTAACAACATTATGCAACTACAGCTCTGTAGTTTAATAACTGCCTGAGATACAAATATGAGTCTTTGGCTTTTGGTTGGCAAATAGCTTACTTATGTGCAAAACATCACATTTTAGAAAATATCGGTGTGTGTTAGCTGTAATGGCCAAAGAATCCCATAAGTTTAATGACTGTTTCAATACCTTTTTGTGTTTTGTAATAAAAACTGGAAATATAATCTTCTTAGTTCACTGTACTTTTGGTGTTGTGTATATACACACTCTCTCCAGTGACTAGTAATAAGTCACAATTACAGACCAATTTTTGCTTAAATGAAAAGATACTGTGCATGTGAGGGAAGGATATTATCTAAGACAAGAAATACAGGCAAAGTGCAACAAGTAATGTTACCCTGGGCTTTATAAACATGACAGTCTTGAGCCATAAGGGCAATAAACGGCATCATTATAGTTCTTAAAGCTTGTGATCTACGGCAGCTTAGCCTTATGAATTCCACTGTATGCTGCAGCAGAGGGCCCTAACTCCGTGGCTAGTGCCATCTAACCACAGCAACCCAGACCACAAGTTCACATGCCAAGTGACAGAGAAAAGGTCCATCATTTCTTTCTGGCTGTTTGTGTTAATATCAGCAAACAACATAAACAGAGGTGAAGAAAACTCTTCTGCACAGACTTCCAAAATTGTCAAAGCTACAGTCAGAGATTTATGGAACTTCAGATTGTTCTCTCATCCATGCTGTTTCCCATAGATTTACAGTATCCGGACACAGAGAAGTTAATAGATGAGGACAGACTGTGGAGCCATGGGAAATGTATGGTATAAATGTTAAAGAGGGTTGACAGATTCATTGGCCTTTTCCTTCACATAATAAAGGTAAGACAGGGCTCTTCTGTTTTCAGTGCCTCAGTATTTTTAAATGAATCATCCCTTCCACATGTTTGCATAATGATTACATGTCTGCACTTGCTCTTTTCCAACACATCATCACAGGCTGTCTGTGGTTATGGGGTCACGGGCCAGTTGGTTCTCAATCAGAGGTGCCGTTGTTTTTATTACTGGCATTATAATAATAACAAAACAGGCAGGTTTGCATCCCTTAACATTATTTTTACCCTGAGGCGGCAGGATTCTGGGTTGATAATTTTATGGAACGCGTCCATCCAGGCCTCAGGCCAAAGTCATAACTCAGTTACAAACTTAGTTAAGGGGGAAATCAAGATGGATAAAATGATCTCACAAGTTTCGCTGCCTTCTGGAATATATTAGCTGTACAGTACATTCTGTTAATGTTGAGGCATGAGAGGGAACACATCGCAGACGCTGCTACTGGATTTTGAGGTCTCCAAGCCACAGCCAGCCAGTTATTCTGTTTGCGCCTTAAGACGATGTGGTGCCTATTGTGATGCTGGTTTGTTTTATGTAGACTGTTATTTTGGATGATTCAGAGTAGCATGTGTGTAATTATAGCATGCATATCTAAACAGAGACTCTCATGGGCTCTACTGTCATAGAGCTTCAAAGTGAACAGTATTTGTTAGATTGGAGAGCATGATAGGGCATGAAGGCCACAGGAACTCTGTGGCTCTACTTTAAGCCCCACAGAAGAGCCCTGACATGAATCAAAGGTCCACTAAGGCCAAAGCAACGTCTGAGCAGCATGAGAGGGGCTGTCATCCAGTGTGAGCTTTGCAGAAGCTTAGCTCCAAGGAAGGGTTATTATTTCTCCCACTTTTCTGCATCTAGACCACATCACTGCTTCTTGCATCTTTACATTGCAAATAAACCAATTATATCAATTTTAGAAACTGATTGTCTTGGTCACAAAATTAAGGTTTTGAATGTATGTACTGCAGTATATACAGTAAGTATACAGAAGAGGGAGCTTAGCGTGTCTCATCAGATAGAAGTTAGATGAAACAACAGCTGCAGGCTGGAAGAAACGATAGAAGTAAAAATGACGGTGCTTGAGGGAAAATAAAGAGAGAAGACAGGAGAAAAGCAAGGAAAGACAGTCGGAGAGGGAGGAGAGTACTACTGCAGTACACCACAGAGCAGTAACCCAAAGCCACGTCAGCACAACAGAGCAAGGCAGAAGTGGAACCCCAGACTTCCCTCCCACCCTTATTTTCACTGCTTTTTCTTCATCCAGCTCCTCCTCCAACATCAAATATTACAGGGCTGTGTGTTTTCAAGGGTGGAATCAGCATACATTATCTTAAGCTCTCCAATATTATGATGTGTGTGACTAAGCAACAAAACTAACTGTTACTAAAAGTGTCCAGCTGTGCTAAACATCTTTCCCTTCTTTACAATGCAGCGCTTAAAAGGTGGAGACACATTGTATACACTTTTTGTAAGGGCTAAACTGGGAAGTGAAAGATAAAACAGCAGGCATACGCTGCCTAAAACCCTGTGAACTAACAGTAGAGTTTACATACAGTAGAAAATCAAGTTACAGGAGCCAATAAAACTGCTAGCTGGAGGGGAAAGAAAGGAAGAGGCAGGTGGGAGCAAATACCAGAAAGAACTTCAAAGTTAAAGATCTTGGAAAGACCATAACATTTGTAGTGATTAACCTGAGGTGTTGTATGGAAAAACTGGATTTGAACTGGCTTGTTTGACACCCAAAGAGAAAGAGAGTACTATTACTTAAAGGCAGAGAAACCCAGTGTGTGGAGTCAGATACTCACCTGGATACAACTGTATGGTGGGGGCACTGAGTTGGGCATCTTTGGATACTCTGTAAGCCACATCAGGTCCTTGTGTTGACCTCCGTTGTGAGCAGAAACCCGTTGTTCTTGTAACACCCTCAGGTAAACTGTGAAACTCTAAAATCTTCAAGAGGTCTGCTGGTTCCGCTACAGAGAGGAAAAAGAGACACGTAAAGAAAAAAAGGATGTTAGATTTATAGAAACATCTGTGGACTAGCATTCAAATTTAGCATTTGACCAAACTCCATAGTACAATGCTGCTAAATTTACAATCAATATATCAGATTGTTTATACAACACAAATATAGATACAGTCCTTTTACAAACAAACCAGAACTTGTGCTTATTAAGAAAGCATTCATTATGGCCAAATCTGTTGCCATTCCCACTACTTTCTGTATTTTGCTGACTCAGAAGCACCAGTTACCCATCAGTAAAACTCACTGTTGTGGTTCAGTGAAGATTTGTGTTATCCATCTAAGCCCTAAACAGAGATGTGCCCATTTATAGATCACCATGATCATGGGGTACCACTGCAGCAAAACCCATCCTTCCATTCATATCCCTACAATGCTAAATCTATCGCTGCCTCCCTCTGGCCACAAACGTGCAATTAGCACACTTTCAGGCCGGTCTTCCTGCCTGTAACCAGGCCACCGCAGAAGTAGACTGGGTCAGAACAATGTGACATGAGGTTTGACCCTGGACTGCACCCTCACATGCCAAAACCACCCAGGACAAACAGCTGTTCCTGCAGCCACATGCACACATAACATGCTACACAATGACACCCATTAGCATCCGGCCTTGTACCAGCAAATATGTGGACAGAAAAGGACACTAGGTTATGTACACAGGGGCAGCCACATAAGGACCGGGGCTGTCAGGGTGTTTTAAAGGAGGTCAAACACTAAAGTGAGGAAGCAAACTAACCAGATTACGACAGAAGGATTTTATGGCACATATTCTTAAGAAAGACAAAAGCGAGCATTCTGGATGCATTTTTGTGTTGCTATGGTGAATGCAATCTCTCCGACAAGTACAAAAGCATGCACAGACACCCACACACAGGTACAGCAGACCCAGTGTCAGGCTGCCAGACCACACAGACCGTTCAAAAAACGCTTTTGATAGCATCCATCTCAGTGAAGAAGCTGCTGGGAAAGGTGGAAAGGTGAACACCACATTCTGCTTTGCCCTGCAACTACCTCCTGACATTGTTAAGCAGAGGTCTCCATTTAAGAGCAATTTGGCTGCATGTGTTCCTCTACAGCTGTACAGTGATTGTAAAACAGAAAATGTCTGAGTGAATGTTACATACATTATCTTATTATCAGCAAGGCAAAGGGTCCAATTAAACAATATGCTGACAACACATACAAAACACAAGCACAAAAAACACCGGTTTGCAGCACAGACATCAGACATGGAGTAACTTGATTCAATTACTTAACAAATTAAGAAATTAACACACTTTATGGCACAAATATTACAGCGAGTCTGGAACAAGACTGTGTAGATTCTGAGGAGAAAATGTGGGATTTGAGTACATTTGGTATGTGGACGTTATTATCTCATTGAAGGCTTTCTCATCTCTCTCCTCCTAAGCCAGCCCACTCTTCCTGTCTTGGAGGCCCGTTATCTGATCCCAAGCTCTGTAATTAGACTTCTGCATATGTGAGTGTGGAATCCTGCAGAATGTACCATCGTTCTGGGGGACATACTAGGTGGAGGCATAGAGATTTCTAATAGAGAAATGAATATTTATCCGTAAACCACAGCAAATGTGTCAAAACTCACTTCCAGCATGTTAAAAAGCCAACTGCATCGATATTAGTGGACGTGCACACCAGGTTTAGGGTCTCTGAACAAAAAGACAGCTCTGTCTGTCATCAACTCATAATGAAGAGATAGAAATTCACCCACCAGCCAGAAAATGCCTATAACTCACCTGATGACAGAGCTTCACTTAATGAGCTCGTCACTAAGGGCACTGCGACAGCGTAATAATATTTCAGACTGTTGTGCGATATGAAAAAACGTGCACATGTCTGCATTTGGACAGACTGTTGCAGCCGTTGCTTAGCAGCTGAGGCATTCAGGGGCCTGGATGCTCACAATAAACCTCTGAAAGGTTTAGTGGAACATACAGGGGTGAACCCTAAGGCCTCCGGTTCAGGAGAAAGGCAGGATCATGTGTTCAGTGATTATTCTACACCCAATAAACATAATGATTCAGAAATGGTTTTGAGACATTTCAGATAAAAGAAGAAATAAATACCAGCAAAGTAAGACTCAAGGTACACTGGCTTACAGAATACATGTTTTAGCACTGAAAATGTGTAATTTATTCTTCAAACCTGCAACAAAAAGTAAACTGCTGGTAGAAAAAAATGTTATGCCGACAACAAACTTTTCATTTCTCCATTCTGTGAACACTTAGGCCCCTGCATGCCTCAGTTCTTTTTGTCAAAATGTTTATTTGGCCTAGTTCAATGATGCTGGCTGAGAGATATGGTATAATTTTAGGAAACCATATAACAGGCTATAACAGGTAGTTTTTTAAAGTAATGCTTGCATAACTGGCATCTGTATCAGCCAGGACTTCAACAATCACAGTAATCAAACAAAGCCAGCTGAAAATCTTTTCTGAAAATCTCGATGGGTTTCTGTGGGGCAGACACGGGGTGCAGCTGTCTCTCAGCAGTGACACATAAAGTGGCACAGAAAGCTTTTTTATTGAATAGCATTTTAAACAAGGGCCATGCTTGACCAAGGTTTTACCCTTTTCTCAGAAAGCAACAAATGGTCCCCAGTAAAAGCCACAACAACGTGCTTTGCAATAATTCCCTCTAACCTGCCAACATTCAACAGCACATTGGGAGTTTGACCAATCAATCATTCTGATGCTTACACTGAAGAAGGCACAAGGCCCCATGGTTAAACACAACAACCACTGTCTAAATGATGGAACTTACACATGGTCAGATTAAACCCAAGCTGCACCATTAAGATCTACTAGTAATGGTTGAACCCAGCTGTAGTAATCTCCTCGTACGACCACACAGTCTCTCCACTGCCTTATATGGACACATTCTTGTATCTGCCCTGCTGCTAGAGACTCTGGTGATGACAGGTACCAACGCTCACTTGATGTGTGACCAGATTTAAAGCTAAAAACCAACTATATGTCCCTCCCTATGCGTGCATGTCAGACTGCTTCGAGATCATCCTACAATGTGGCACTGTGTTAGCTATTATTGTCACTGTGAGGGAAGGTGCTCCTAATGCTGTTCTTTCTTGTCTTCACACCTGAAGGAACCAAGGAACCACAGCCATTTTATTAGTTTACAGAAGACAACACAAACAGTGATAAATGTTTCAAAGAAGTTCCTTTGGGCTACATAAAACTACACTCCTAGTGCTTCATAACAATATGGCTGTCATAATAACAGCACTAATAATAGCCAGCTCAGCACCACGGGGGTGGGGTGGGGTGTAAGGAGAGTCCAGTTGAGGCTAGCTGTGTCTGCTGAGGAGCACTTGTGCTTTTTCTAATCTACACTGACACAAAACAATCCCACAGACATCCGCATCTTTTTTGGGAGGGAAACAACTGTCATGAGGACGTTCTTTATTTGTGACATGTTAACCAAACTCTGCCACTTCTCATTTCCATTTTCCAATTTGCTATTTCTTCATGCAACATTTTCACCCCTGATGCATGTAAATGTGACCTCAGGGCCTCTGCTGGGTCACCTGGACATGAGCCAGGTGGAGAGGACCAGTTAGCAGCTGACAGGAAAAAAGAGGAGAGCATAACATATCTGTCTAGACACAAACTACAATATAACAAACCCATCTGAGAAACACCTTTTTTCCCCAATAAATCTAAAATGCAAAGAGCAAAAAAGAAAACAACAACAAATTAAACATTTTTTCAGCGTCAGACAAGCACCTCAGTGAGTTACAAACATTATCCACTCTATTACCCCCACTCTTAACACACTCACCCATTCACTCTGTCACTGCCAAGTCGACCTTCCAGCGGAAACAGTCCTGACCACATCCTAAGCCACAGGTGTGGGTCTCAGTCCCACCTTGTTAAGGTGAGATGTTTACCCACCTATCAGGACAGTTCCCTTGAGAAACTAACACCTCTGACACTACAATCTTTTTCCCTCTGACCACAGCCCCTCACATCCAAGAGGCACGTTCCCCACATATAAACAGAATCTGTTTATATGACAGGGTCTTGTGTACATTTGCTCTCCACCAGTCCGTCATCCCTCTTCTGCGGCTTTGGCTACTTTTATGCAAATAAACAATACTGCAAATACATTGTATCCTTTTTAATGCCTAAATAAAAACATCTCCATCTCGTTGCCTCTCACATTGTCCTTTTATTGCAGTCATCAACACTGGGACACTATTCTAGATATCTGCAATGCTTCAGTCACTCACAGATCCTCTGCTGTGCATAAGTAAATGCATTTACAACACAAGTACAGGAGAGTGCAACCAAATGTGGCCCAAATTAAAGGAGAATTAAAAACAGAGGTGCAGCACTAGTAACAACTCAAAGGATTCACAAGGGGTTCTTGCCACATCATCTTGCCTGAGATGATGAAAACTGTCAAGAAACAAATTGTCTCCTCAAACTGTACACAACTGTTTCTTGTTATTTCCAATTCTTATTACTGAAAATAAACTTTTGCACAGTCAATATAAAGCAGCCACTCCACAGTCAGGGGGTTGCCAAACCATGAACACAATGGAAACTAGCACAGAGCAGTATGTTTGATGTGATGTGCTAAAGGAGGAGCAGTTAACTTAGTTTTATCCTTTTATTGGTTTGTTTGTCAGACATGGGTTTGATGAGGTTGCAGCACAGTAAAGGATAATTAATTCAATAAAGTGTACAGTTGGCTGTTAAATGGCTATGAGGTGGTGTAGAAATATCTTCCCCTCACTACCTCACCCCATTTTTTCTACATTTCTCTCTCCCTTTCTCTGAACAGTAGCTTGAATGCCAGATTCACAATCCTGCTTTTGGCTCAGTGCCAAGACCGGAGGAGGACCCCATTCCCCTACCCAGAAATGTCCACTTACATATATACACACACTCCGTAACAATACTTAGTGAC